TAAAGGTCTTTTCCAGCCTAAACAATTCTATGATTCTATAAGCCAGCAATGTGCACTCACAGCCCAGAAAGCCAATTTTATCCTGGGCTGCATCAAAAGAAGTGTGGCCAGCAGGTCGAGGGGGGTGATTCTCCCCCTCTAGTCCACTCTCGTGAGACACAACCTGAAGTACCGTCTTCAGTTCTGGGGGCCCCAGGATAAGAAAGACATGGACCTGCTTGAGTGGGTCCAGAGAAGTGCCACAAAGATGATTAGGGGGCTGGAGCACTTTCCCTGTGAGGACAGGCTGAGAGTGCTGGGGTTGTTCAGCCTGAAGAAGAGAAGGCTCCAGGGAGACCTTGGAGCAGCCTTCCAGTACTTGACAGGGGCCTACAGGAAAGATGAGGAGGGACCCTTTATCAGGGATTGTAGTGACAGCACAAGGGGTAATGCTTTTAAACTGAAAGAGGGTAGATTTAGATTAGATACTAGGAAGAAATTCTTTACTGTGAGGGTGGTGAGGCACTGGAACAGGTTTCCCAGAGAAGTTGTGGATGCCCTATCCCTGGAAGTGTTCAAGGCCAGATTGGACGGGGCTTTGAGCAACCTGACCTAGTGAAAGGTATCCTGGCCCATGGCAGGTGGGTTGGAACTAGATGGTCTTCAAGGTCCCTTCCAACCCAAATAATTCTATGACTCTATGATTCTACTCGCAAATGAGCACGTGTGCCGCTAAACATACCAACAGGTTTGGAAAGTACATTTCAATACTCAGAGGCAAGTTCTAGCACAATCCTGTGAGTAGAAGAATGGATGGAAGCATTTCTAAATCACAAATAAGAGACTACTAGAGAAGAAAAAAAGTAGGAATTACTTGATCTTTCCTGCGAAAACGAAGATGTCTGGCCTTTCACTAAAATGAGAAAGGCTGTCATTTCACAAGCAACCACTGAGACTTGAGAAGTTACCTAAACAGGCTCTGTGGAGCTACCCAATATATAAATTAGCACTGACACCTTTGTGTTATCTTTACATTAGAGCTACCACCATTACTTCTGCAACTGCTGTGCCCATGCCAACCCACCACAGAAAGTGCAAAAAGTATAACACCAAATGAAGACATCCTAAACTTGCAGCATGAACCCCACTCACAGACTGTCTGTGCTCCATGCATTCCATCAAAATGTGAAATAGATGACTGGACTGTTTCTGTCCCAAGCTAAATGTGTTTTGAATCATCACCAAGACCTCCTCCTTCACTTGAGGGCGCAGCTCCCTGAAAAACAGATACACAAGCAAGAGTATGTGTATTTTCAGATACTTGTTACCAGCCCAAATGACACCTCAGCAAAAGACAAAACTTGTGCTAAGCAGAAACATTCAAGAAATCTCTTTTATTTCTGCTTCTCTGTTGACTTATTCCTGCCTTCTTTCAACAAAACAAAGCAAAGGCATCCAATAACATAAATTATTATTCACACAGGCATTAGTTTTGACCTTACATATATAGTATTGGAAATAGAAGAAAGGAAAAAGTTAACAATTTTCAAAAAACTGGCTGTGAATATAGAGCTAAAAATCACTACAAGTTCAGAAAACTTTTTCTTTCTTTCAATAATCATATAGGGTTAAAACTAAATTCCTGATTATTTGCTCATTAGGCTTCATACATCTCCCATCTTTTTTCCCCTCATTTATCTTTCCATTAACTCTTTTGTCCATATTTTCCTTTTCTTTTGAAATGGCAGGATTTTTTTTTAAAGATCAAAAATATGGAAGAAAAAGCAAGTGAAGAAAAAAGTTCTCAATACAACACACTACGGAAAAATACCACCCCCACAAAAGAATATCTAGGAAAAAAAATTAACAATTAGGATATAAATTTTATTAAATTCTTCATTTTCTTAATTGGAATGAACCCAGACCACCTTTTTAAAATTTGATTTTTTAATTTACAAAGCCCTTTTGACTTTGAAAAACTTTCACAAAAATATTAATTGGCTATACAAAAATAAATACATATTTATTTCCATTTTGTATGTAAAAATTTCATCAAGGTAGGTTTAATAGAGTCTGCAGCTGAGGCTGCACTGCAGGCGACAGGAAAGAGTTACAGCTAGACAAGGATGAAAAATCTGCGTTACCACTGGGTTACCACAAAGCCAAGGAACCTTAGTTCTTCTCTACCCTCTACCCCAGCCTGAGGCTCCTACAGCAACCAACTCCAGCCCGAGTCTCAAAAGCTTTGTGCAACCCAAATCCAAGCCCACTTACAAAATACTGATGGCAGGAGAAAGGATTGAGTCAAAACCCAAGCAGGCACTGTGGGGTCACCCGGCAGTGTCCCTTGCCAAAGGTGAGAAACATTGTAATAACTCAAAATAGCTAGATGCAGTTTCTTTTTCCTCTTCAAAAAAGTCTTAGTAAATTTGGCAGAATAATTCTTTCAGCTCTAGTTTGAGGAAGGAGGAAACTCTGCTCTCTCTTCACAGAAGGAAAAGCCAGCAAAATACCATGGTGGGATCATTACTAGAAGCATTAGAAATTATCCCAGCAGTTTTGAGACAAGCATTTTCAGGTCCCTCCCAATACGACAGACCAAGCAGGAGGAGCATTATGCCACTACTCACCCTGTATCACCCATGTGTTTGTGGGTAAAAGCCAGGATATCTGCAGCTCTGCCAGTGCCCTCATAGACCACCACGGGGACAGCTGGGCTGGCCCTCATGTACTCCCACACCATTAGGATCACATTGGGGCCTCCTTCCACCACCAACCCCACTACGGGTACACCTTGGCCCATTCCTGTTTCAAAACACACCTAACCAGTTACAAACAGGTCTCAGTCACACAAAAAAATCAGAACATCTGGTAAATAAATACTCATGACGGAGTCTCATACATGATTCAATGGAGAGGAAATCATGCCTTCACCATCTCTAATTTGACTTGCACTTTTTAAGACTTTCACAGAACTTCTGCAACCACATCATAAAGACCATGAAAACCTCCTGATAAAATTGTAAGCAGCCCTAGCGTCGGAAAGAAAAAACATCCTTCAGAATATCCTTCTGCCTTTTATGATATCTCTCCCATGCAAGGACATAGACAGCATTTGAAATGTCGCCAATATCCATTTGTTTACCTAAACACGTAGAAAAGTAATCAGGCACTTCTTTACAGCCTTTCGCAAGTTTAACAGTAGCAGGATGGGGTTTTTAACAATCAGAAATAAATTTCAAATAAAATCCAATAGAAATGGAAAACCAACAGAAAGTCTGACTTGCAAAAACTCATAGTAAGAGATGATATAAGAGGCTGAGTAAGAAGCTCTAAATATGAACACATTAAAAATTGGGTAAGTTTCTAAGTTTGTAAATACTATAATGTGAGCAGATAAAGGAAACAAGGATTCAACACCATAACTCTGTTAATGTCTTTTTAACATACATCAAGATTTAAATCACTAGGTAAGAGTGAACTTCCGCAAATAATTTATACAATCTAGTGCATGAAAAGAAATTACTGTACAGACAAGCAATGAAAGTTACACAATCTGACAAACAAACATTGACTGAAGGTATTCCTTTCGCAACCAGTCTTTGTTTCTGTACCTGAGGATGTCACAGGCTTGCAACACAGAAGAGTGATGAGGATAAAAGCAATGAACGGGGGAAGAAGGATTCAAATTCCACTGAATCTGACACTTTTTCCAGCTAGCAAAATGCTGGGAAACTGTCTAGTGCTGATATAGACACCATGCAAAACCGCGAAGTGAGCAAATGCTCAATACTCACTAAATAATCTGAGTCATTTAGATGTCTCTACAGCTGAGAAACCAAAATGCGAGTTAGGCCAAATGCATAATGCTTTATAAAAATGCTGTCCTTTTCATTTTCATGATCTTCAGAGTTCAAGACATGTGCAATTAATAACTTTCAACCTTAGTGAAATCTATGGCAAATGAAGATGTACAAGATGTTAACAGGAAACGTCAAGTACCTCCACAACTTTAAAGACAGGTTTTTCTGTCGTAAAGCTGACCACAGCAGTACTCACTTGTGTGTATTTTTTGAAGTGATATGTACTTCTCCAAATTCCTCCTGAGCGTCATTTCATTCCCATACTTGCCTACTGTCCCATCATCTGCCATTAGAAAATGAGAATGCATGCTGTTGAGGGTACTTAGCTTGCTGAGTGGATTACCAATGGTCTGGTACAGGCAAACTACCTAAGAAAACCAAAATAAAAAGATCTTCAAAGAAACCAGTAAGATATCACCATTTATGTTGCCTTGCTTGCACGTATTTCTTCATCATACTGAGATCTTCTGAAAGCCTCCATCACGCTTTTTGCCGCTCTACTCAAATATGGGTTTTCACTTGATTCTTAACAGCAACAAAACCACAATTAATACCACAGAAAAAATTTCTGATTAGGCTTTCAGTCCTTAGGCAGAGTCACCACCTGCCTTTCTTTGCAACAGTTGAAACACAATGGCATATTTTTCCCAGATGTATTCCCATTCAAAACATGTATATGAGCTATCATTTATCAGGAATTATTTACCCTGTCCTGGTTTCGGCTGGGATAGAGTTGATTTTCTTCCTAGGAGCAGGCATAGTGCTGTGTTTTGGATTTAGTAGGAGAAGAATGTTGATAACACGCTGATGTTTTAGTTGTTGCTGAGTACTGCTTGTGCTAGTCAAGGACTTTTCAGCTTCTCATGCTCTGCCAAGTGCACAAGAAACTGGGAGGGGACACAGCCAGAATAGTTGATCCAAACTGACCAAAGGGCTATTCCATACCATATGATGTCATGCTCAGTACATAAACTGGGGGGAGTTGGCCAGGGAGCAGCGATTGCTGCTCAGGAACTGTCTGGGTATCGGTCGGCGGGTGGTGAGCAATTGCATTGTGCATCACTTGCTTTGTATATTATTATTACTATTATCATTATTATATTGTTGTTATTATTTTCATTACTATTTTACTTTATTTCAATTATTAAACTGTTCTTATCTCAACCCAGGAGTGTTTCTCACTCCTACTCCTCTGATTCTCTCTCCCATCCCATTGGGGTAGGGGGAGTGAGCGAGCGGCTGCGTGGTGCTTAGCTGGTGGCTGGGGCTAAACCACAACACCCCTTACTTGTCAAGTGTTTTTAGACAGTTATGTAGATTGTGCCCTCACATTGGCACTTACATAAAGTTCTAGTTTATGAACAAAAATCACGCATATTAATAGCCTATTTGTGTATACCATTAACCAGACTGCTAATCCTGCATCACATGAATATAGAAAAATATCATTTGCAACCACAAGAGAATTGCCTAATTAATTACAAAATTTCAAAAAGGAATGGCAATTTCCTGTAAGAAGAGAAATATTTTAAAACTATTCATTTACATACAAAAAGCAAAACACAGTGCCTCAACATGCCACAGAATTCTACTGCTGAGCAAAATCTAAGCTTCTATTATGAGAAAAAATATCAAACCAGTGAAATGAAGCAAGCAGAAAATAAAGTATGCAAGAAAGCTGTAACATCCCCTTAACATGAAGGCTTTTGTTATTAAAATGTGTCCAACTCACATCTTTTCCAATGAGATCCCTCTGGTTCTCAATGATACCCCATGGAGGAATCCCAACAGCACAGATCTTTCTCAGGTGTGGTGAGGCACGACCTTTCAGCGCATCCCCCACATGCCTGGACACTCCTAAACAGATAATTAAATCATCATTTTATTTCTACGTTCAGAGACCTGCTACAGGATACCAATGAAAGGGTTTCCAATCATTTAGTTCATTCTATGGTTAAGTTTTAACCAGAAACAAGCCATCCCACCCCACTCGTATATTTGCCATGCACTGCAGGAATTGTAAGGCTTAGACGTAATGCACCAATGCTTCAAACTCAACATATATTTGTAATTAATAATACTCATATATGTTGCTAATGGTGCTTTCTACCGCCATAAAAACTTTATTATTTACATAAACGCACAGAACAGTTCTCCTGTAAGGTCACCGGATTGAGTAAAAGCTAAAGAAGTAAAACCATTTCAGTTCCATGGCTTATTGACCCTCTCAGTTTTTGAGAGTAGTCTACAGGGAGTTTCAGTTACTAATAGGCTAATTAATGGATTATTACAATTCAAAACTTTCTTAATTATAAAACACAAGTTAAATTTAGATTTGAAAACTGTTTCAAAAACACCAATCACAGTCTTCAGAACCTAAATATTTTAATGAAGCAGATAAAATTTACTGCAAATAAGTTCTGGTTATCTACTATCAGTGTTTCTTATTATACACAGAATACTTTGCTCTTTAATAAAAAGAATTATTAAAAATACTCAGAATGCCTGTCAATAGCAGAGGAATGTGATGTCACTCTTTGAATTATGCATTGCTCCTTAAAAAAAAGCTTCATTTTGTGCTAAAATACCACAAATTATCAAACAATTTCATTATATTTGCCATAAATGCATATGCTTATATGCAGAGAAAGAATACCAGGGGAAGATTGGAATAAAGAAAAGTAATTACATTACCGCTGTTGATGCCTTCTGTAATTATCCATGCTCCTGTAGTCTCAGCAGCCTTCACCAATCCTTTGCTGAAAACCTGCTTAACCTTTGAGGGAAGCTTGAAATTTTGAATGCCTCCATGAACAGAGATCACTAGCTTTGGCAACTCCATCTGCCATTCTTTAACCATCAGGTGCAACAGCTGATCCAAATTGCTATCATAAGAGAGTCTAATATACTGGAAGAAATAGTAATGGGTAAAATAAACATCCTTTATATACCCCAAGAGAAGAACTTGCAACATCTTACAAAGTTCTCAGCATCAATGTCTTAAAGATTGTGTGCAGGATTAGAACTTTCATGATATTGCTAACATGATAATGCAAAAATATATCAGTAAGCAATACATGCAGCAAGACAGACTATGCTTAACTGCAGTGAAGTTCAATGTAAAAATATCATACACACACTCTAACCTAACCTGCTTTTAGATTCCCCAGCTCTTAAGACAAACAATCTGATATTCACCAAAACCCACTTTTTGTCTGTCTTATGCTGAAATTATAAAAGGAAGTCAGACATATAAACCCAGCATTTATTACCTTGGCATGGTAAGTGTGATCTCCATCTTGAAAATTGATTGTACCAAATGCATCCGTTGGACTCGTCTTTGTGTGTTTTTGCACAGACCATTCTCCATCATCAACCTGTGAGGCAGCCTGATACACAGGCCAGCTACAGTCTACTCCTGGGTGATCTCCAATCAGACGTCCACAGCAACATCTCACATTAAAAATAAAGAAATTATTTTATGTCAAACACACTTGCATGCAACTCTAGGATCTTCATCAGAATAGCCCAAATAGTTTTTCTACAAAGACGGATATTGTAACTTGCTGAGAGGGAATATAATAAAAATTAACCCAGCTGAAAAAATCTCAACAATGGCAAAATGACATTGAATTAATAAATATGTTTTGCAGAATTTGTTCTCTACCTGAGGAACACTAATAACAGTTGGGGGCTTGGACTAGATGATCTTCAAAGGTCCCTTCCAACCCAAACCATGCTGTGATTCTGTGTGACTCTGTAACAGTTTGAGAGTGCCTATAGCAATTCTGACTTGAGCAATGCAGCTCAGATTTACTAGCCTTGTATGTGAGATTTCAGAGGAGTATTTTGGGACACCAAGGTTTGCTATGGTTATTACCACGGGTTATTCTAGGTACTGAAGAAAGATCTAGGACTTACCATCATTAATCAGGAGGAGAGGAGCAACCCTCAGTCTAGAGAGAACTTCAGAGTGACCTTTATACTAACCCTTGGATGCCCACAAAGTGAATATACAAAATAAACAGATTGAAGCACAATGTTAATGGAAATTTAGCAGAAGCTCAGTTAGCATTAAAGGTTTGCAACTGGATGAATAACCCAGATTCCAAATTCAGTCAGTATTAGTCATACAGGATTTGACAGACTCCAGCCTCATCTACAGGATTAACTTCAGTGTAATTTATAGTGACATCTGACAGTCCAGTTTTCCTTTAGACATTTCAGAAGTTAATATACACTGGGAAATGGAGATAAATTCTTCACTTTTAGCCTTTCAAGATACCAAACAGCCTCCAGCAACCCAAACTCAATGACTGCCCTGGGACTGAGATGTATTACTTGTGGATCTAGGGGCAGATTAGATGTAAACAACATCTGCAAAACCCTGAAGAGGTACATTTGGAAAGAGAGGGAGTTTTCTGTGGAGACGAGTGAGAACTAACTGGCGAAAGATAAATAGATTAAAAATAACAAACAAACCCCAAAACAATCCTAAGCAAATTAAGGAAGTGAACTGTTTCAGAAAGGCACTTTTTGATACCCAGAAACCATGAAATTATGTTTGCACTCCAGTTTTTCAACACAGGCAAACTACATTTGATTGATTCAATGCTCTGCAAAAGCAGACTGGAGAAGGAAGACTCCCACACTCTTGGGGAATTAATAACTCAATTAAACAATCTTATTCCATGGAGAATTAAAGAGTTGTAGAAGCCTAGCACTGCAGAAAAGACGTGAGCTCTATTGTCACATGTATGAAGATGGTTAGCTAGAAGTCAGAAGGCAAGAAAGACTACCAAAATGCCCAAATTTTTGTGAAGTTAATTCAACATGGACTAGCTAACCTAGACCACCTATACCTTTCCCTAGCTGAGACAAATAGTAGGATAGAATAGAAGGAAGTCAGGCATGTGTTCAGAACTGAACCCTGGAAAAATGAAGAGGAAATGCTCTACCTGGGGTGGGGGGAAAGCCTCACAGAGGAGTTTTTACTGCCAAGTTATTCTAATCAAAAGTACTGCCTGGTCTGGCTCACTGCATGACTCCACAACCATTTGCACTGTGGTGGTGGCAGAAAAAAAACCAGGGATTAGCAGAGGGGGCCCAGGAGCTGCTGAAACAAACTATTGTTGACCCCAAAAGCAAAACCCACTGTAATTTTGCCTCCTCATAGGCAAACCAAGGCAGATCAAGGCTCACAGACTAAACAAAAAGTATCCAAGCTGGAACTTGGCAAATAAGCCAGTCACACTAAGTCACTTACAGATATGCAATTAAATCACTGTTTCAGAAGACTGTGAGCAATCAACACAGATGGAAGATCACTGCTGACATCATGTTATCAAATAACATATGGACTCAGAATCCACACTCGGAGTCACTACAGAGACATATCTAAACTAAAAGTTTTTCAGAGCAACATAACTGCAAAGCAGATAGCATAAAGGAAGCAGATTTGGATAAAATCTGCCCACGAAGAGCGTGAGGCCAATGACTATACCTGTTGAAGATTCTCCCTGCATACCTCAAAGGAAGGACCAGAAGAAAGAGATAGTTTTGATTTTATTATTGGCCAAATTTCTCTACAGCTGAGCTATTAGCCTCCTTGCTCCATTTTTTCTGCTTGCTTTTTGGGGGCACTCTAGGGTAAGAGACAGCAAATGTCAGGAAAAAATTGATCTTTAGATGAAAGATGAGAAAAAGCATAGATACCCTATTGTTCTTTGGTGCTGAAAATGCCTTGTGGTCACTGTACTGCTCCTAGAGTGGTCTCACAAAAACAAGACCTTTCATCCAGGAGTCATTCTGAAAGACAGAGAACCAACAGCAGTCCCAACTAAATACTACATTACCTTAGATTACTCACTTAGACACCACATTACACTGTCTGATGCAGCAAATACCAGTGCTTGGAAGGACAGTGCTGAAAAACAATCAGGCTCATCATCAATGGATTAAATTTTCTAAAATCTGAATTAATTTCAGCCTATCATCAAAATATGAGCACAGAATGACTATCTATCTCATATATTACTGTTCCATACAGGGTCACATCCGCAGCCTCTCCTGGAGCAGCAAGAGCCAGACCTTTTCAAAGCTGAGATCCTACAGAAAGGAACTAACCATCTGACAAGACAAATCAGTGCAGTAACCTTGAAACCGAGAGGCCCAATGAACATTGAACTATTTTAGTAATTAACATCATTTGCACTACATACTTAACATTTACATCTAAATGCACCCAGAAGTAAGCCGCATTCAGAACAGCTCAGTTTTGCTGAGCAGGCAGTGGAGAAAGTGCACACAGACCTAACACACAGGTGTGCAGGGTACATGCAGCTGCTTTTACCTCAGAGATTACCATAGCAAGAGGTATGAACTCAAAAGGACTGGTATTTCCCAAATTACTCATGCTCTGCTCCAAGCTGGCATGCTCACTCTCTCTAGACATCTCGCAAGAAGGGACAAGGTGCTAAGGACTCCTGAGCTACCTGGGAGGTCAAAAGCCAAGACTAAGAGGCTCTCAGGAAGGCTGAGGAAACTAAAGCAGAACATTACATACAGCTGTTTAGTTTTTTTTCTGTGAAGTTTTGTGCTGTGTGCATAGTGACAGGGCTCAAGGAGGAGAGGAGCTACCAGGCAGGGATGATGGTCTAGTCGGGATCGCTTGGGAGCACTCGACCCACACACGTCCGTGGGACCAGTCAGGCTGCACCCCAAGGTGCTGAGAGAGGTGGCTGATGGTCTTGTGCAGCTGCGCTCCATCAGCTCTCAGGGGTCGTGGAGGTCAGGGAGGTCCCCAACAACTGCAGAAAGGCAAATGTCACGCCTGCCTTCAAAAAAGGGAACAGCCAACCTGAGGAACAGCAGCCCAGACGGCTTCCCATCAGTCCCAGGTAAAATCAAGGAGTGAGACCTCCTGGAGCCCACATCTGGGCACAGCAGGGAGAAGACAGCGAAGGAGAGCAGTCAGCAAGGATTTACCAAGGGTAAATCATGCCTGACCCACCTGACTGCCTTCTGCAACAAAATCATGAGGATGAGAGGAGAGCAGCGGATGCCACCAACCTCTCCTATAGCCAGGCTTTTGGCACTGTCTCCCTCGGTATTCTTGTACCTGGGCAGGGACATTACAGTCTGGGAGGGAGGACACATTGGCAGGTGAGGACCTGACCAGGTGGTGGGCTCACA